CTCCCTTGCAAATTCTCTATATTCCTTTTAGACTGGAATCATCAGAGGTAGAGAGGGTTCTCTAAAAAGACCTGACAGGTGACAGAAAGATTAGGCCTAGTTATTGCCCACTAAGCTTTAATTTATGTGTCTGTGATATGCTTGCTGGATAAGGTATGGCTCTATTCTTGTGGCTTACATATCGATTTTGAACTGTGGATCTTTTATTTCTGCAATGTAGAAAATCAATTCTTCTAATATGTCACATTAGAGTAGTTAATTGTTCTCCCAGATTGACCGCTCTGCCTATGACTCTATGTAATTTACCGCCTGTCAATTTATGAAAGTAATATGAATTGCTTTTACTCCATTTTTAATTTTGCCTATTTCACTGAAGACTAACACAAGTTCCCACAAGGATGCCTATATAAAACTATTAGTTACCTCAGATTTTATTCCAAATTAGTCGTGATTCAGCTCTGTGGCCTACAGTAAACTCCTTTAATAAATTCTAAGTTAGGAATACTAGCCTTTCATAAGTGACATGTCAAGCTTTATCTGCTTTCTGTAGGATGAAGAGGGAGGCAGAGTAGATGCCGAGGTTTTCCACTCTAGCTTCTTTCCAGACCCCAACAGCTTTCCCAGGTCACCATAAGCCCAACACCCAACAGTTTTACTCATATTAACCAGAACTGACAGAAAACAAAGTAATAATATTAAAAATTATTAAAATCTATTCTTCTACAAAAAACAAAAGTACAAGAGAGAAAGAGAGAAAGGTAAGGAATGTATCAGCAGGGGAAGACCTCCTTTGTAGAAGGAGGAAAGATAACCTTCGCCTGTCCGTTTGGTCTAGTACCCTGACTGGTGTCACCTACAGTCCCTCGAAAATCACTGATGCCTGAACCCCATGATTCCCTACCTGGCTTTCTAGTTTAACCACCACAGTATGAAGTTAAGGTCATATGTTTGAACCTCATGTAAATCCACAGACATGGGTTGCAGGGTCGAAGACTTGCCTTTTAACTCTAACCTGTTATAAATATCACCTCATGAGCGAAGATACAAACCAACAATGCAAACCCATTACCATTATTGGAAAAATAAAGAGGCAACCTGTTAGTCAGCTTGTAGAACAAATTTCATTTAACGACTCCTTAATGATCTTGGAATTCAGTTCAGACAAATAACAAGAAACCAGGCTCTGCTACACAACGGCTCTGTACATGACCCTGGACAAGTTAGTTTCCCAAAGCAGTGAAGGTAAAACACATTAAGGATCTCGAGAAGAGCTTGATAATATAAGGAACCAGCTCAGACTGTACCACCCCAGCTCTTTCTGGAGATAAATCTGATACAGATAGTTCTCTCTGAATGACTTTTGGACTTATTAACAAGGCACTCTTGGAGTTAAGACCCACCACTCAGACTTAGACTCTTTTTGTACAGTTCTGTTTATAGAGTTTCAGTGTCTTTTTGTGCAGTACATCTTGTTTATACAGTACAGACACTCATTTAACAACCAAGTTCTATTCCTGCAACTCAGTTGTTAACTGAGTTAGTAACTAAGTGGGAAATTGTATGTAGTATGTACCTTACAATATCCAGACAAAGAGGAAACTCCAACTGGATGACTTTGCTTTTACTTGCATAACTCTTATAGGCAATACTGTAACGTATAATAGATACAAACTGCAGGGCTGTACAGTAAATCACAAAGATTACACTACTATATAACCAAGGTGTAGGGTCCAAAAAAAGACACTGAGACTCTCAAGAAGATTTGCAGAACTGTTCCAAAACAAAAAGACAGGTCTTAAACCTGAGCAACCTGTGACTAATTTTAATAGTCATTAAATAGGTAGGTTGCTAAATGAGATATAACTGTGTTATAACTTTTCCCAATTATGCTGTACAGTATGGTAGTTTTACATTGTTATTCATTAAAATACTGCTTATAAGAGTTAGGGCAACAAAAGCAACGACATCCAGTTGGAGTTTCCTTTGACCATTTCTTTGTTCTATATACTATAATTTATATATATTATCTATATACTATATACAGTTCCTCATTTAGCGACCAGTTCTTTAAGGACCTTTAATGGCTCAGTCATTAAATCAGTAATAATTGTAATGAAGAGCACAGGGATGCAATTAGGCCCATGAGTGTCCCAATCCTAATGTAGCTGCGTGACGGCTGTGAAACACCAGGAAAATGACGGCCCCATCTTCTTCATAGAGCTGGGGTAATCCAAGCATTTAGTGCTAGTGCAAAGCAAATGACAGTTCTTTTTAGCTACTAATAAGATCAAGAACTGTTACTATACTGTCATCACTATATCCTGACCCACATTTTTTCAAAGTATAGTCAGTGTATTCAAATGACCTGAGATGTCTGTTGACAAGAAAAAAGAAAAGATATTAGTATGTTCCACCACACCCAACTCAAAAAAGCTCTCCAAAGGTATCAGATAATACATTCCTGGCCTTCTGGCTAAGATCAAGTGAAGAATGGCACCAGATAATGTTCATCTCTCAATCAAAAGAGCCTGAAATGCACATGAAAATTTAAAAATTGCTGATGCAGCAGCAGGTCTTGTGTTGTCTTTCCAAGCTTACTCTTTACCTCGCCAGGAAAATTACCCAGTATCTACTGGGTTTTCCTTGGCACTTTTCTGGGGACAGACTTCGAACTGCTAGGGCTGTATTTTCCAGGGCCATTCTTGATACATCTCTAACAAAACTACTTTGACCTTTCCCCTCCTTTGGCCAGAGCTCAGCAAACTGTGGCCTTGATCTACAGCCAGCTTTGAACCATCATAACTTCCAATTGGGGTATGGGTTTAAAGGCTGTATTTTAAAAAAAGAAAATAATAAAAAAGGGCTATTGACGTGATTCAGACCTAGATGTTCACAAAATCTAAAATATTTATTATCTGGCCATTTATAAGAAAGTCTGCCAATCACTTTGTAGGCTACAATGAAAAGTTTTTAAGCTATGAGTCTCAGTATAATTTACTTCAAAACAAAAGAGGATTACAATAGAAAATACCAAAAAAAGCACTGCATTTAGAAGAAGACTTTGTTGCCAAAGACTCAGTTACAAATATAAATCCATGTTCCAGGGTAAGGATCCAATGGGATTTGGTTGAGTTAAAAAAGTTTTAAAGCCCTCCACGGTAGAATGGAGGAATAAATAGTGTAACCAGTTAACCAATATTTATTAAAACTCACAGTAAGTGATTTTTGTATAGTAGACCTATGGTGGAGAGCAGAGATAACCATATAAAAATACTACCCTCCTGCTTATGAATTAACAGCTTACTTCTTTACTGCAAAACGCAAATTACATCTCTTCAGTGCACAGTGTGCATGCACTGAAGGGCAGAAAACAGAAATACTGGTGCAGAGGACCTCAAAGGATAACACAAAATAGTAGTAACAGTAACATATTTTACAGAACATACACAGCTTCTGTATCAAGTCTTTGGCCCAGTGTTCCTCCAATCTGGGAAATGAGTCTTTTTTTCCCTTTGTGTGTGTATGGATGTGTCAGGTATTAGACGCCACTGCCTTTTCTATGTCATCCATGATTGGTTCTTCTCATCTCTATAAAATATGTACTCTTTCCATTTCTTCTTGTTTCTGATAAAACTATCTGATTAATTTTGTGCAAAAAAAGTAAGCTCATGACTACCCTACCCTGGAAAACACTGAAAAAGTCCGCAATTAAAATGTTAAGAAACCATCTTCCCTTGCATCTTCATAGAACACTAATTTCCACGGTGTCTGTGGTTGTTTCAGACAAGCTAAAAATGCTTGAGTTTTATAACCCATTTCAACATGTAATTTTTCAAAGAAACATCTTCCTAGGAAGGGACACAGGGAAATGAAGTAACACTTGAAAATGTTTTCATTATATGGAATGCACTGCAGACACACAAACCACAAGCAGTATAAATAAATAAAAGCTGGTGCAATGCTGCATGTATGTTTGCCTTACACCACAAAGAGAAAACACTTGGCCCTTTGCATACCATAGTCTTAGAGCCTGGAATGCCATAAAAATGGGATCTGGACATGCTGTGTAAATACTGGAGGCTGTAAACGTGCGTGTGTGCTGTGTGTGTTAGGGAAAGAGGGTTGTAAGCAGAAGGGGTGGGACTTGCCAAAAGCAGCTATTTGAGAAAATTCCTTTTTCTTTCCCATTCATTCTTTCTAGCTTCAGTGTCTGGCATAGTCCTTACAATTACTCACTGGCTTTTCATTCTAAAGACAACCAACAAGCTTTCCAAAACTTCCTACAATGTTTTTCACACCCCCCCCAAAAGCAAAGAAACCACTAATATGATAAATACATACACACACTCACACACATACTCAGAGCACTGGCCCATTCCTTCCTTCCAAAGACCCCATGGGTTGCAAGATAAATGGGATCCTTTGTTGTGTATCCAAAAATAACACAATATGGTACTGGTGAATTGGAAAATAATAAATCACCGTGTCCAAGAATGTCACAGCTATTACCACCAAATTTTGTTCTACCCCCAGAGACTGATTTCACGCTCCTTTTGGTGAATCCACCGCCCTGACTGACAATGGCAAAGCAAACCCAATTTAATCCTCTCCGCCTTTTCTTTCCCGACACCCCATTAATAAATTTAACGGCTGAAAAAAGTCGCCAAGTGGACCGATTTCCTTCATGCACAATGGTGTCCAAGCGAAATAGCTCCAACCACAGCCGAAGCTGGCTTCCAGCAGATGCCCACCCTACACAGCATGGCACGGCGAGGGGCAAACCGCGCCCGGCAGAGGGAGCCGAGACCTCCGCGGTGCACCCCCAGAGCTGGGGAGGCGCGCAGGGCACGACGAGGGGCGCGGGAGGAAGGTGGGCGCGCGGGCGAGGCAGGCCGGCTGCCGAGGGGGTGGCGGGCGCGGGGGAGGCGGAGCGCAGCGCCGGGAGCAGCGCCGCGGGCTCCACGCGGGCGCGGGCCGGGGCGCGCGGGGGCCGGGCTCACCGTTGAACGCCCCTGCGTCCGCGGCCTCCTCCTCCTCTTCCTCCTCCTCGTTCTCCGAGTCGGAGCGCACGGGCTCCGAGGCGAAGTTGACCCCCTTGCTGGGGGTGCCGCCCCCGGCGTCCGCGTCCCCCCAGGTCCTGCCCTCATGGCCGAAGCGCGCGGCGCCCTTGCGCTCGTTCTCCTGCTGCAGGCGCGTGAAGTGCTGCAGCGCGAACTCCAGCAGGTCGGCGGGCTGGTGCCGCAGCACCTCCACCGTGAAGCCCTGCAGCAGCTCCGTCAGCCCCGCCGGGATCTCGATGCTCATCGTGCCTCCCGCGCGGCGGGCGCCCCGGCGCCGCCCTCGCCCCCGATCGGCGGTCCGGCCGGCTCGGGCCCCGCGGCCACGAGGAGAGCGCCGAGGGCGCAGGCGGCACGACCCGCGGCGAGCGCGGCAGCGCACTGGGCCCCGGCGGCCCGGCTGGCCCGCGGCTCCCGGCGCGCGGCGGCTCGGAGCGGCGGCGGCGGCTGAGCGAGCGCGGCCCCGGGAGGGCTGGCAGCATCTCGGCTCCTCCCGCCGCCGCCGCGGCCGCGCCTCTCCCCGCCCGGCGCCCCGCCCCGCCCCCCGCCGCGCGCCCACGTGACCCGGAACCATGGCAACCCGCGCCGGAGCGCGCCGCCGAGCCGGGCTGCGGCCGCCCGCCGTCCACCTATCCGCGCGGCGCACGGCGGGGCCCCACGCCTGGGCTCTGTCACGGCGTCCTCCAGGGCCGCCCAAGCAGAGCCCGACGTGTACCGCGCGGCTGGTCCCGAAGCTTCAGCCTCCCACCTCAGTGGTGGCCTTGTGTTTTTATTCCTCCTAGAGTCGAGTTGCCATGAGACATGTTGGTGATGTCGTTTGCTGCAAGCTGTATAGTGCTGTTGCTTCTCTTTTGCACAGAGATGCCAATCCCATCTTTGTGACATCTTCCTCCGCCACATTTTACCCAGCCTCCCCCTGTCTATCCTATGCACTGCCTTGCCTTATGCTCTCCCATGGTTCCCTCCATGCATGTAATGCTACTGTACTTACCGAGGCAAAGGCACTATTTATTGAAAAGCCTTATCAAAGTTGATTGATACCTTTCAACCAGGGTAGTCCAATTTGGATAAAATGTCAGTTGGGGGGCAGATGGTCCAACAGCAAAAAGAGCTTTGCCTGATTAGGCTCTTAATGTTTATTTTTAAAACCTTTCCTAACGCCTTGAATAATTTTCAAAATTATGCCTATTGCAACATAAGGACGGTCAGAAGTCGGTGCTTTTAAAGTGAATGCCCTTGACTTTGAAATGAAGGCTGCTCTGCAAATTTTACAGTTTTGAAGTGGAGAAAAACATTTCCTGCCAATTAAATGCTGTTCAATGTACATCATTTCCTATAGCGACCATATTATTATAAAGTAGTTCAAGCGCAAACTGTCTTTTTTTTCCCTCTTATTGACTTATTCAGATTTATCTTTTTGCTCACCCAAAAGGAAAAGAAATGCATGACTCAGAAAACTTAAAAACTAGGAATCATGGAACAAACCACTCCCTTTATAGAAATGCATCTTGATATTACAATTTGGTTGTGATGCATCTTGTATTTACTCCATGAGTGGATGCATTTCTCTAGTTTCATCTTATCAACCTCATTTGTTTTTAAATAAAGTGCTTCTAATCATAATCGTCAAGCATTTTAAGAAGCAAATTTTGTAAGATACAGTGATCCTCACATATGATTGCTTGGAACAACAATGCAATATTAAACTTGCTAGCATGTAAGCATCCACAGTCTAAGATGCCTTGGCATAATCTGCCTTCATTTATGATGTTTATATTATGACTTGTCTTGTCCACATGTGGCACAAAATGCAAACTATAGTAGTTTAAACAAGATAGAACCGATTTCTCGGTGTGTCAGTGTAGGGAGTTCAGGGCTGATGTGCTCCATGGGAAGCCAGGTCTCTTCCGGCTCATTGTTCTGCAATCCTCGGTGTGTGGTCCAGAATGGCTGTGGCACCACTAGAGTTCCCATCCTCTTGTGTCAACCACAAGGAAAGTGGGAAAGAGACAGAAGGCTCCCTTCCTCTGCCAACGCGTCCTTTAAGGACATCTCTGGGAAATTAAGAGCAGGACCTCCCTGTCTATTCTCTTGGTCAGAGTTAGTGAACATGGTCACATCCACGGTGTGCCAGATTGCCTATCCCAAAGATGACAGCAGCAATAGCTCCTCCCCTCAGTGCTCTTCAGCTGTGTGACCCCTTCACTCCCCCGCCTCATTGGCTGAAGTCTTATTTCCTGTCTCCTTATATCTGAATCTGCTGTGACTGCTTTGACCAAGAGCATAAGAAAAGTCATGTCCACCCTGTGATCACTGTCCTCTCCATATCCTGTTCCCTAGGGCCCACAAGCATAATGAAAAGATTGTTTTGGGGTTTGTTTGTTTTGGCTTTGTTTTTTGAAACAGGGTCTTTTTAGGTAGTCCAGGCTGTCCTTGATCTCATTATGTAGCCCAGGCTGGCCTCAAACTCATGACATTCCTCCTGCCTCAGCCTCCCAAGTGCTGGCATGAGAGATGTATGCTACCATGCCAGGAAAAAGATTGTTTTAAACCTCTAGATTTGGGGGTGTCTTGTTACACAGTGATAGTACACTGCTTGTAAGGAAAGCTTGGGAATGTAATCTATTTATTTATTAGCTTTGTGTGTGTGCTACTAGGGATTGAACTCAGGGCCTTGTGCATGCTAGGCAAGCACTCTACCACTGAGCTCATTCCCAGCCCTATAATCTCTATTTTGAATACTTACGTGCCTAGCAAACATTTGGGGATTAAGGAGAACCGGGTTAGGGGACAGTTATCAGTCTCAGCCACAATGTTGAACACCTTTTCCCCAGGAATGTTAGAAAAAAAGAAAGCATTACCCTTTCAGACACTAACAAGCCATGTTTTAAATTATTAATCTGCATGTTGTGTTCTCACTTTCTTTTCCTTGGTTTATTAGATGAGGCCTAGTAGATGGCCCTGTCATCCACAATGCCAGAGACCTCTCATTTCTTTAGAAATGTAGCAGTGACTCAAGTGTGAGATGCGTAATTGGATTAGATGACCTCTGTCCCTGTGAGAGACTTACAATGGGATAATATTAAAAGAAGATATGTTGGATTGCAAACATCTTTACAAACAGCTCTCTGGTAACAATTTTTACTTGCATCAATTCTTAAATCAATAACCATGACCTCACAAAGTAAAGCTTGATCCTGCTATGCCCATTATGTTAGTATTGTTCTCAGGACAAACATTTATTTCTCAAATTATATTCTGGATTTATTCACTAATGCATAATCTTTGTGGTAATATTTTCTGATTTCCTTCACTGTCGTTTTTAGAATATTTGCTTTTAAAACTTGAAGCGCAGTGACAGTGCCTCATAGGGGCTATTTGTCTTGAATTCTGTTAAAGAACATCACTGGGACTGATTCTTTGGTTGTTGATTTACAAAGCAATTTGCTCTAGCTTCTCAGAGAATCAGACTAGAAGCAATTGCAAAAGAACTCTGAGAGCACAGCACTGAAATGAAATAACAATACTAAGAAATTTATTTTCGCATGGGCAAATTAAACAGATACTGGACAGAATATCATTGTACTTATACACAGCTGGCAAAACAGGACGACAGCAAGGAGAAGCCAATGGTTTGGGTAAGTTATATGATTCAGAATAATAAGTATGGCCAATCAATCACGTAGCACTTTTTGTCAAAAGGTAAAATGTATCCCAGTCAAGTCTTTTTGGTGTATTTGCATTTTAGTATTGCTAACCCAAATGATGCCTATTTTTTGAGTCTGAGAACCACACTTTGAGAATCATTATCTTGGATTCCCTGGGGAAGAGCTTAAATTCATGCTGGAAAAAAAGACCCTCAAGATGGCAAAATTTTTGCTTAACATCAAAGCATAAGCTTTTCTTTGACTAAATGAAGACTAAATGCAAATTTATCTTGTCTTCTATTCTCCTTTAAGAGTGTTGTGAAGTTAAAGAGATTTTAAAACCCATCAAAGAATAGGTCCTTAAACAGCACATTTCATAAATAGAATATGGGTTTCCTTTTGAAGACCAGATTGGATACACTCATTTATCTCTGCTTCTTTAAAGTCCTGCAAAATAATAGCTAGAGGAATGAGGGAGGGAGGAACTCATAAACACATGAAGAACAGGAGACCCACAATCAAAACTGAAATTTTTCCTTAAAAAATTTAAATGACCCAGTCTTAAAAGGAAGGAAATTCTGATACATGCTCGAAGACATTATACTAAGTAAAATAAATCCACCACAAGAAAGAGAAATACAGAACTGTATGATTCCACTTAGATGACGCATGTGAAACAGTCAAAATTCATAGAAACAAAAAATAGAACGGAGGCTGCCAGGATCTAGGAGCAGTGAAATGAAGAGTTATTGTTTGTTGTTTAATAGAGTTTTTGTTTTGTAAGATGAGAAAGTTTTGGAATTGGTTGCACCAGAGTGTGAGTATATTTAACATTCCTAAACTCTACCCTTTAAAAAACCAAGATGATAAATTTTATGTTATGTGCATTTTGTCACAATTAAATTTTTTAAAAATTAAATAAAAACAGAAAAAAGACAAGGGCAGGTGAGAGTTGTCTACAGAATTTTGGAAAGCATTTAGCAAACCCGAGAGGGCTGAAACTGAGCCTGGGTGAGGGGTCAGTGATGCAAGTCACAGAGCACAAGATCCCATCTGTGTTCCAGAGTGCAAGAGCACGGACTGTGACCGCTCTGGGTGCCTTTGCAGAGGACGTCAGGGTAGAAGGTTAGCTAAATGCACACAGGATCAATGACACGGTTCACCCTCCAGTGCCTTCTCATTCCTACACAGGCAAGCCCCATCCCAATTCCTCTGACATGCTCGGGAAATTGTCCTCGCAACTGCTACTTCTTTGTCCTTGGTCATCACTTTTTCCTTTTCAACCAGCCATTCTGTGCCAGATGGGCTCTAGGATGACCTCTGCCTCTTGCCCCAGGTATCCAAGCCCTGTGCAACCCTTTCCCGTGGGTGAGTGTGTGGCAGCTGTGACTTCCTTCTAGCCAATAGAACAGGGCCAAGAGATTTTCTGGATGAATGAAGACCTCAAAGCAGTTGGTTTCAAATTAATCTAGATGGGGATTATCCCATGCCTGGTTTAATCAGGGCAAGCAGCTAAAGAAGGCAGAGATTCCGAATGGTGGCTTGATGACACAAGCAGTGTGTCGAGGAGCCCACGTGGAACACTTCTACTTTTTACCTTTCAAGACCTCATTTTCTTTTGGTTCTTGTCTTACCCACATGGCCCCATCATTTCAGTCTCCTCTGGAGCTGTGTCTTGTCCCCTTGAATCCTAAATGTGGAAGAGCCCAGACAACTTTCTTTGTACTCGCTCCCTGTGTGACTTCATGGAGCGCAGGGGTTTCAAATGCCATTTGTGTGCAGTGGAGTCTCAGGACTTCGGTGAAGAAGGCCT